TTAATCAAACTTATCTCAATTGTAAAGCATGTATAAAGGAAATATTTAGAATAAAGCCAATATATAAACTTCCTTTCCGTATAGACGTATTTACGTCAAATTCTCCGGAACCGTGGTTCCACTGACAACTTTTTTAATCGACGAGACACTTCGTGCTAGCGGTAAGCAGAAGTAACCGTGAAGTGCACGCAGCCAGGGCCCAAACTGATGTCGTAAATGAAACTAATTACGTTACGTAAGTGTGCTCCGCGTTGCGTCACTCTTGCGCGCACTGCTGAAGAAATTGCGTGGTGCCAGGCGGAAGGGGGGGAGGGGAATGTCATGTGGCCACAATCGATACATACACTCCGATCCTTACTACGTCTCAGAGTGACGTCAGATAACATGAAAATGGCCGAAATTTGGAAACTTCTAAAACGGGCGAACATTCCAATGCGACCAATGACCTTTTAGACGTCCTCTGTAACATCAACGGGCCAGTCAGGGGATTGCTACGTTGTGTCCACGGGACCTCAGAAATCCCGGTTGGCATGGACGTTACAAAACGACGTTTCTGCTCTACCCTTTGAAGACGGGCGGTAACCATGCGTTTCAATTTCTTCAACATTCAGTAAATCCTCCAGTAGCATCAACCAGCTGATCGTTGGCATGGAGACGATTTTTCCCCCCTTGCGGTAGGACCTCGTGTTTTTTTTAATAATTACCTCATACAGTTTGGTCCTTAAAAGGATTCAGCGTGAAAGTTGACGAACTCCGCTGCTGCTGGCTAACATGCCAGAGTGACTGACTAAATCTGGGTCTCCGTGGCCTTATGTAACCCGCACGTAACTACATAAAACTGGCGACTTGAACTACAACATTTCTAGCTATCCGTATTCTCTTTCTGCAGAGGGATAATGACCTTGAAAAAAAATAGATCTCTCCACTTCAGACACGGTCCGTCGTTCCGCGTGATCCTACGACCTTTAGAACGCCCGTTCCTATTAAGACGAGCTGTACCCGAACATCGATAAGAAGAGTCAATTGAATAAATATTTACTTGGATATTATCCATCGTCTAGTAAAATATAAAACGTAAAAAACGACGTTTCGGAGATGGGACTCTATCTCCGTCTTCAGGTTCCTACACAGTTGGGCCCACTAGATACAGCTAATCCCCATCTCCGAAACGTCGTTTTACGTTTTATATTTACTAATAGAGTCCCATCTCCAAAACGTCGTTTTACGTTTTATATTTACTAATAGAGTCCCATCTCCAAAACGTCGTTTTACGTTTTATATTTACTAATAGAGCTAATCCCCATCTCCGAAACGTCGTTTTACGTTTTATATTTACTAATAGAGCTAATCCCCATCTCCGAAACGTCGTTTTACGTTTTATATTTACTAATAGAGCTAATCCCCATCTCCGAAACGTCGTTTTACGTTTTATATTTACTAATAGAGCTAATCCCCATCTCCGAACCGTCGTTTTACGTTTTATATTTACTAATAGAGCTAATCCCCATCTCCGAACCGTCGTTTTACGTTTTATATTTACTAATAGAGCTAATCCCCATCTCCGAACCGTCGTTTTACGTTTTATATTTACTAGACGATGGATAATATCCAAGGAAATTTTTATTCAATTGACTCTTCACCATCGTCAAGAAGTTTTAGATTTGATATCGATAAGAAGAATCTTACGAGTATTCATTCCAATTTGTCGATCTTCAATTGTTCGTATTCACTGCAGTGAAATATTTATGACTTAAACTGTTGCCAAGTAACGAAACAGTGGCAAACACATTCCACTTCTGCACTAAAAACCTCGGTTACGATCGCCTAGCAAAGGAACAGAAGGTCAGATGGGCAACCAATGAAAGGGAGAAGTTAATCGATTCTATACTTGAGGCTAATCGGTCTCCATAAATGGCGTACCATTCGCACATTTGCCATGCAGTCCTATTTACATTCATGTACACACAGTAATGGTTCGAAGAGGAATTATCGCTTCCGCAGGCGTTAACCGACTGCTTCTTCAATCTAGACGCGACGCGGTGTGTTTTCTTGGAGGTAGGGGCCGAAATAAACGTAAGTATCAGTGCAAATGCACGATAAACACGAGGAAAGAGTCCCGAAGAATCTATCAATATGATGTCCAGGACAGCCCACCCGTTACACAAGCAAAACCATTTAAAATAGGCACAATGGATTCCTGTGGCCTGAAGTCAGGCGGTGGCGTGGAGCGGGGGCACCTCGTGACGCCTCCGAATCCAAAAGTAGCGACGAGTGGACGGCGCCAACGTCTGACGTCACAGGGAAGTTCTGGCTGTCAATGGACAAGTTCTGTGGCATTCTTGGATCTGCGAGGGCTCTGAACCTGATCCCTGTACGACTAATCGATATTAGACAAACACATCCTTTACCCAAACATCACCGCCACGGCGGTTAGAACGCTGGTCTTGTAATCCTGGGGTCTCGGGTTCGATTCCCGGCGGTGCCCGAATTTATAACTTGTGTTGGGCAAGGCCGTGGTCTAGGCAACACGGAGTTTTCCTCCGTGGCATCCCAACAATTACTCCATTCACACACAGAAGAAGGCAATGGCAAACCACTTCTGGATCATCTGCCAAGAACGTATATGAACAGGTCCCAGTCCGAGAAAAGGATGGAAGGATCCTGTTCATATGGACCTGTCGTCAGACAGAACACTAAATAAAAATACCCCAACATTCAGCTCCGTGGCAACGTTTGAATGGTTAAAGCTGTTTATGGAAATTTTCGTTGCCTGTGCTGATAATCCACGCGAAACCCATAAATACACTAAATCTGTGGGTAAAATGCAGTTACTGAACCTTAATGCAGGTGGTACATATATTTACCACCATGCTTGTATACTAATCTATAACCACACGCAAACATATTTCAGTACAGTACCGTTCGTTTTCCCCATCTGGAACAAAGAACTTTATACAAGCAGGTGAACGTATCCCCGAGTTCAAACACTACTTTATGAGCAGTGGCCTTACGATGGGCTGATCCCCACCAAAGAGCTCACACCACTTCTCTAAATAACAATTCATAAATCCTGTACTACGAGTCTACACAAGAAACGCGGTGCGCCGTGACTCCGCGGCAACTTCTCTGGCGTCTGTGTAGTGCGGGTCGCCAAACACCGAGGGGAAGGAGTTCTGAACTACGGTAAAGAGTTCTTTAAACGTCGATTGTCGTTCAATCAGCCAAGAAACGTCGGTCTTTAAGAAACCTCAAGGTGTATCACCGTGTTTACGAAGGCGAGAGACACTGAGCCAGCTGAATCCAGTCCACGCCATGTTTCCTTAATCGAGGTCTTTAATATCGTGTCAGACGGCCTCGACGCAGGCAATTGGACGCGATACGTCACTGACCGGCACAGGAAACAATACATTGACCAAACCCAGACGACGTGGAGGTTATACAGTGTGTCGCAAAATGATGTAAACACAAACTCGATGAAGGGAATAAAGGAATTTTAATAACTAAACCACAACAAACGTCGACACAGACACTTAGTGAATTGGCGACTGTCAGCTTCGTGACACAGTTGACAGCGGTGAGAAACCGAGTGACCACCACCGTATTAAAAATTTGTATACACGTTTCTGGGACACTGTATATTCGCCCACAGCAAAAACGACATAAAACAAGATGCCCTGGTCCCTCGCATGACAACTGATGCACACAAACCACAAGCTGAATTCAGAATTCTGAATCATGGGACCTGGACCCAACCCAAACTTTGGGGCATCCGCGCTTATGGAGAAGGGGCTGGACTGTAACTCGCTACAGACGGCCATACGTCGAGTTACGAGCTTCACACGAACCAAACAACGCAACGAAGACGGGCTGGAAACCGTATTTTCCCGGGACGATGCGACCGGACAGCAGAAATCAGAGGGAGGCCAACATCGACGTCGGCGAGAAATCACAGACATCCCAAATGTAACCAATTTACTCTGACGAAGTCAGAGCTTGGGGGCGTCGAATGAAATACGTGACAACTTAAAAGAAAAGCCTTGAGTGAGACCGACATTGAGAGCCCGGAGTAAATATCGACGAAATTCAGCTTCAAAGCGTAAATTACTGTTTTGCATATAACGTACGCACACAAAAATAATACGCGTTCCTTTATTTGGACACGTCTCGAAATTTGACCGAGCTTTAAATTCGCGCATGTCCAATTCTGTTCGCCCTGTCATACACAGAAGAAACTAGTTCCGTGAAATCGGTTTCATGAAACGTAAGTTGCCCAAATGTTGGAACACAAAACCGTCCATCTCAGTTTCCGGTCACTCTTTTCGGTTTGATGGAACTGTCGCAGTCGAACTTCGGGGGGCGGTAAAAAGAGCGTACTCACATGCTGGCGCGTAGACCGCGAGTCATCGCGTGTGTAGATGGGCGCGTCAAGGTCAGTCACAGAGGACGATATGGAGGTGTTCCTGGAGCGCCCGGATTTATCCGGTACTTGTAACAGCGCCAGCGACTGTGCTGCCGCCTCTGGACGAAGCGGATGGTCCTCCTCGATGTAGCCTACTCCGTAGTCTTCCTGGTCCATCCCTTCTGCAAAGAATCGATCATCAATCAGTTGCGCCTTCGACACAAGAAACCGTTTCTACAGAATGTTCAAAAAAACCACGCAATACTTTAGACGTACAGCACATTAGTAATTTTTTACGGTACACGTGATATACAAGTGGAACTTCAATTTCATGGACAGTTTGTATGCCTTCCATTTGTTTCGAAAGATAACGAGTGGCAAGAAACACCGTCAACTTTTTTAACAAGACGCTCGCCTAAACATTATTTAAGAAACCAGTCCGTACCGCAAAGAAAACACAACACTTCATTACAAAGATCAAGTGGTTAACTCTGTTTAAGGCTGTAATCCGTGTTTACTCTGAGACTGCACTCACATGGCTGGGGTCGTCCGCTAATTCGTAATAGTTTGTATCGGGGTACACTGAATTCACAACACAAAACCAAACGTGTTTCAGAAACCAAGGCTGGATGCGTCTGCGGCTGTTGTCAAGAACGTGTGGAGATTCGTCTACAGAGACGGAGTTACCTTTATCTCTCTTTCAGATATAACTCGCTGTGGCCAGCAGCGGTTGAAAAAGTGCCAAAGCGATAATTGAAGTCGGATGGAAATAGACAAGACGTACGGCCAGACTTCGTGTTACAAAACTCCTTCGTCTGATCAAGAAGACCTCTGCTATTACGGAACTACCAGATTCAATACTCGTCTGAACAAGGTTTAAGAAATCAGTCCGTACCGCGAAGAAAACACCACACTTCACCATTACAAAGATCGACTGGTTAACGCTGTTTAAGGAAATAATCGCTGTTTACAGTGAGAATCACACGAAACTCATAGATACAGTGCGTAGGCGTCTAGATAATATTTAAAGATTCAGTCCGTACCGCGAAGAAAACACATCACTTCACAAATATCAACTGGTTAACGCTGTTCCAATTAAATAATCGATGTTTACATTTTTATCATACAAAACCCATAATGCATTGGGGGGAAAAATGCACTCTCGACTAATGTTAAAGCTGGTGGTACATACAGTTACCACTCAGCCTTCATGAGTTGAGATCTATGTTAATGTTATCACACGTTACGTCAAGGACTTCCTTTTGATGTTTTCAAATCAGAATTTTATGTAGTTCTCACGTCTCGTCCTTTTTATTTAATTACCCGAATGAACACTGCATGAAAACACTCCCACACTTCGTAATTCTCTCCACTCCCCAGGTCTGCACACGACTGATACACTTTTCTATGACGAAGAACCACTAGAAGGTCCAACAGTCTACTACATACAGATTCTTGCATCAAATTACACTGGCGATAAGATACATATTTAAAACACTTATTACAGACGCGAAAACGGGCATGCAGAAATGTATTAACCAAATGAAACACTAAAATACGAAACTTTTTTTGAGGACTACGCAAAGTTCTTATCAGATCTCATCTCGTTTTCGATGGTGCGTGGATTTTTTTATAAACCAAACAAATATTAATTCAACGAAGAACGGTTGTAAGATTATGTCGTTTTTAATTAGAACTCTTCCTGCAGACTCCACGCATCAGAAATAAAACAACATCTACTACCATCGTCACTCGTTACAAGAAACAAATTAGACACGAGCAGAACTCATGACATCACGCGTTCACGTTGATCAATTTCTGTATGAGAACGCATTTTACAGTCATCTTCACGGCACCAAATTAAGTTTCTAGAAAACTGACTCGTGAATCCTATTATTCGATTTAAGCATAAATGCATCTGTGGAAACAAACCTAGACTACTGACGCAAAGCCGTGAAATGCCAGCTCACACGTTCGCGACCAGTAAGCGACTTACGATGTCCGAGGGCCAAAATAAGCTCGTACAGGATGCTCCGCAAACGAGGTGCCGATACGCGCTGGATCAAAAATAAGATCTCACCACCAAACTTTTAACATACGACAACTACTGCATTCCGACAAACACCTGAAGATCTTCGTGTGAGGCGCATATAATCTCATTGTAATTACGGACATGGAGCTGAAAGGGTGTTGAAGTGTGGACACGTCAGTGCCGAGTGCCCGGTCATTTCAAGGACACAATCATCGTTCGTAATGCGAACTTATTTGTAATTACGAACCGTCTTTAACTTTTTACAACCCACTCGTAATAACACCACATCTCAACGGGATGTTGATTTAATAACGCTTTCTCAACTACAGAGGATATACAAGTCTGTGACGTCGAAGGCGAATGGAACTGTCGTGACAAGTTCGGGGGGGGGGGGGGGGTGAAATTTA